CGTTTGAGGGAATTAAGCCGTTCCATAAAAGACGTGCTAATAACCGAAAAAATAGCCGTAAAAACCCTTATGTGTCTAGTAATAAAAAGTTGTATCCAAACTTGCACAAATATACAGGGTGATGCATTTGAAATTTTTGAGAAAAACTACAATTTGCGTTTTTGACCACACTGTATGAGCAAAAATTAAAATTCGAAAAAGTAACAAATAAGATAAAAGCTGAGGTGTGCAAGTTTTTGTTGATATAAAATTCAGCACTTCAAATTTCAAAGTAGCGGACTGAAAGGTTGCCGAAGTGGTTTTTTTTTAGAAAAAACACCTTTATACCTCAGTAGCTAATTACCAAAACCCCATAGTATGTTATATCAATTTTTTCTTTTGGATTGGTCTATCCAAATATGCAATGCAACAAAATTTGAGGCATTCCATTTGAAAAATCACAACTTTGATATGTAGGTCGAAATTGAGACACCCTGTATAATGGCCAATATTTTAGAAATGTGCCCTCAAATGTCATGTATAACATCCCATAAATAGATTTTCCCAAAATGTATTTGTTTATGAGTAATATTTCGTCCACACATGCATGGGCCACCGATATTTAGTTAATGCCTCCAAGAAAGTGCCATAATATTTACTTAATCTGTTGAAACTTAGCCTTTTAAAAGCATTAAACAAATTCAATTTAGAAATTGTCGGATGTCAATATATTGGACAAGTAGTTTTTCCAAGACCGCAGGAGCCTTGCAACACAGTGTTGGTCTTCGTCTTGCCGGTCAAGTCTTGGTCTAAGGCCCGTATCGTCAGTCGTCCTTACAATTGTAGGGCGCGTTTATAGCCTCCTTGATTGTCATACACCTTTCTCTCCTTCAAAAATTTCTAGATTACACTTGTCCCGTGTCAGCGTCCTATTGTGAAGATATGTTTTCTTTTTAAATTGTAGGAAATTTCAGGCTGATAAAACATGATATAACTCAAAAGCAAGCACAATTTGATGCAAATAGATGTTTGTGACATAACCTCAAAATAGAGTTCTGACACGGAGAAGTAAAAAACTATGACAATCAAGGAGGCCATAAAGGCGCCCTACAATTGTAGGGACGACTGACGATACGGGCCTAAGTCTTGGTCTTGCAAAACTGCAGCCTTGGTCTTGGGAAGTCCCTTATCTTTCGCGGCACTGTCTCTGATATCTGGCGAATGTCTCATGATACTAGTATTGACTATGATACGTCACTATTCATCACGGTAGTTATTAATGCATAATGTTATATAGAAATCGGGAATGATCAGTAAATAATGGTGGTACGGACCATAGTAAATACTTATCGTGTGACATTTGCTTGAGATCTTGTATACGTTCTCATCATCATCAATAGCACTGGGCAAGTCGATAGTGAAAATTGAGACCGTCATACAGTCTCCTCTTGTCTACTGTCATGGAAAGTAAGTTTTTACTCCCAAGAATTAATTTCAACCAAACTGCCGCTATTTCTCCGACTAAAATTGTAGGCGTCGTTTGAAGACGATGACGTGATCGTGTCGAACTTATTGTTTCCTATGCCCGACCTAGTTTTCCGAATTAATTTCGTGAGTTCTGATGAAGTTGTTCGAGAACGAATTTCAATTTTATTTAGGTCGGTCTCATGCGGCCGATGCCGTGGCTCGCGTACCGGGATGTGCACGCTAAGGCGGAAGTTCCAAAGCTGCGGAGTTTGCCTTTTGATCGCAAAACGCCTCCCCAGTCCCCGTGGAGGACAGTGGCAGCAAGATAGCTTTTTACTTTTTACGCCACTGGGCGAGGAAGTATTGTAATCGCGAAAAAGTTCGAAAATGATATACAAATATTATGTTTTTGGTTGAAAAACCAACACATATTTCCGTCTGTCTGTCGGTCGGTCTGTCCGCTAATCTTTAGATCGCCTATAATCTGGAAAGTACGGCTTAGATTTAGATGAAGGTTGCTGCTATGCCAAGAAGGGAACAGCTGTGTAGTTTTTGGAAATCGATGCAGTGGCGGCTGAAAAAGTGCATAAAACAAAGAAATAAAAATCATCCCAACTTCGTTTTTTGACGTGTCCTGGATTCTCGTCATTTCCAGGAAACTTTTTGCAGGCATTAAAAATTTGATGATGGGGACTGTAGTGGTGTGGGAGAGTATATATCAATTTTTTGGTCGTTGCAGTTTCTACGTTTCCAACATAGGGTGTTTGACGTTGGTGTATTTATACGACTCCAACCCCAGTAATTTTGCACCACATATTTGATACACCAAAGATTTGCCCGTACATTTGCCCTTAAAAGTCGAATGATAAACCTATATCTTCGATGTACGCAAGCCCCTCTCTGCTTTCTAACTCCGGGCTTCAAATGTATCTTCTATCTTTTGCCAGAAAACGAAAGCTTCCAATTTATTAACAAAGCATAGTACAATGTGCTTAAGAACCCTATCTGTGTAATCTGAATTATACCACATCATCAACCTGATCTATTAGAGTATTTGAGATTTAATTGTAAAACGTTTTTGAATTCGACTATTGTTTTTAGTTTAATCGCGAAAAATTTCGAGCTACTATGTTTTTTGATGTTACATGACATGTCACACGTCAACCTGTCTGTCTGTCCACTAATATTTGAACCGCCTATAACTTGGAAAGTACTGCTTAGATTTGGATGAAATTTGCACACAAAGTTACTACTATGCCAAGTATGAAAAAGCTAGGTTTTTAAAATCGGTCCAGTGGTGTCGGCGCTAAGGGCGAAAACACAAAAAAATTGCTCAAACTCTTTTTTAACGTTTCAGAGGCACCTTATCATTTCAGAATTTTTTTTGCAGGGGTGAAACGTTTGATGTTGGGGTTGTAGAGATGGGGGAGATTATGTGTACATTTTTTGATGCAAGCAATTCATACGTTTCCAAACTAGGTAATTTTTAAAATCTATCAGACATATTTCATAAGTCAAAGATTTCCCCGTACATTTGCCCTTAACAGTTGAATTATAGATATATGGTATATCTTCGATATATGCGTATTTAATTCCTTTGTTAGAGGAGAGGGTATAAATATGGGCTACCATTTTATTTAATTGGCATATTTGACACATATTTGGTCTATATGGCTCAACTTTTTTTTTCTCGGATAAGCTGAACCTAATCTAACATGATGCTGTCAGTTTTTATTTTTTTACATAAACCTTATTCGATTTTTTATATGTTTAAATAAAATTGGCATCATAAAAGATATTGAGATAGTGATACAAATATGGGCTACCAGAAAAAATACCTACACATGGTAACTAAGAGCTTTATTCAAGAGCAAAATTTTGAAAAAACAGAAGCAGTTGGCAAGAACACATTAGATATTATCCAGTGCGACAAAAGTCACAAACATAATCATCTTTATCAGCACCTGCACAATCGACATGACACCACATATTGCACATTAAACATTGAACCCATAGTTCTCCTTTGCGGTCTTCGGAAAATTTACTTTCACAAAAGATGCATTCCGCATCTAAATCATCTGGTTCCTTTTGTCCAGGCAGATCATCCAAATCTAAGTCATCATCTGCTAACATCAGCTCTGTTTCATCGTCATCACTTTCAGATTCTCCTAAAGATTGCTGCTTTTTATTCTCCTTCGAAGATATGGACGATCTCTTTTTGGTTGATTGAGAAAACACCTTTTTTTTAATAGATTTAATCTTTTGTTTATTTTTATTGGCAGTGCTCAACAATAATTCATCTTTGTAAGGGGACGAAGTAATTACTGCTGATTGTGATGCTTTCCTACCCCTATTACTTGTTTTTTTTTTAAGATCGGAACTGGTGAAATATCGAAGGGAGTCACCATTTTTTTTTGATCCCTGATGGTCCGAGCTGAACGCTGTCGTGATTGAGTAGCTCTACATCAGATTGAAATTTACCACTTGGCCCGGGTTGAACGTTGTCTAGACTAGGAGGCTCTAGATCTGATTGAGATGTGCCCAGTGTGCTCTGATCGAAGTCATTTTCAGCGGTACAGTGTTCTGTTCCTTTTTCTATTTCGGCTGCAAGAAAGTCCACTTCGGAAAAAATATTCCTGTTAATCGGAAAAATTCCAGTAACGCGGAATCCTTTTACGGCGATTTCTCCAGTCTGACTTTTGAGATAAGCCCTTCCCAAAAGTTCGCCCATATCATATTGGGTTAAGGGACGATGATTATGACGAATCCATTGTCTAATCTCTTCGCTGTAGTAAGATTTTAATGTACCCATGAAAGTTTTGTCAAGAGGTTGCAATTTATGTGTTGAATGAGGGGGTAATGAGATTATGCAAACATGATTTTCTCTCGCCATAATAACAACCTCTAATTTACGGGTATGACTATAATGTCCATCTAAAATTAGAAGAACAGGTGAAGATGCAGTTGGTTTTACCGTGTTGATGAAATGTTCGAACCACTGGGCGAATAATGAGGCCTGAACCCATCCACTTGGGTGAACTGCTGATATTGATCCTGGAGGAGTGCCTTTCATTAATTGCACATTCATATTTTTTCTAGGAAATATGAGCATCGGTGGAACGAAGTCTCCCCCTGCATTCATGCAGGTAATCAAAGTGATTAAAGACCCCCTTTCTAATGATGTTAAAGATGCAATTTGTTTTTTGCCCTTACGACCAACCACTTCAGCCACTTTATTTTGCACAACAGTTAGACCAGTCTCATCTACATTAAAGACGCGATTAGCTGGGAAATTGTGGTCTTCATATGCTTTCTCCAAAAGTGTAAAGAAGTTGTCCACACTCTCTTTGTTGAACTCTTTGGCACGTGCAAATGATGTCCCAGTAGGTTTTCTAACCGACAAAATTTTGTGTCTTTGCAAAAATAGATCTAACCAGCCCCTTCCTGCTGTTTGTGTATTCCCAAAAGGATGCCTTATGCCGTTTTCTTCTGCTAAGTAAAATGCCATACGTTTAACGTCTTTGCAGGTTAAACCATAGAACTTGGCTTCCATTTCAAGAATATAGCGAACTAATTAATGATTCTTCCAATTCTGGAGTCAAAACTGTACCTCGCCCTAATTTGATCTGAACAGCCTCCTCCACGCTAAGATGGTCCATTTTGGCCAATCGCTGCACTGTAGTTCTTGGAACGCCATAAGTTTTAGCTGCCTTTAGAGTACCCATAGTTTTTTCTCTTACCGCTTGAACAGCCCTTTTCATATGGTCTACATCCCAGGTCTTCCGTTTCTTGGCGCTCAACTTGGGACTAACAATAGCTGTTCTGCGTGGCATTCTAAAACAAGGTTCATGATTTCTACTACTGTTACAAATATGGGCTAGCCCATATTACAAACGTAATACCAGCCCATATTGCACATAACCTCCAAAAAGTTTGAAACTCCACAAATATTTTATATCTTATATCTGGGTAAAATTAAAAACAAAATCTAAAAATACGAACCTTATTTTCAATTGTAAGCTATAAAAATCCAGTTAACTTCTAAAGCCTACTTGGTTACAGCGACAAATAACGACCACTGCAAAACTTATAAACACTGATAAAGACCAAATCACACGAAACTGAATTGCATATGTGAAAAGAAGAATTCTGTGATCAGCAGGCGGTTAGGTGCTCTAAAGAGCATCTAATTGATACATTCCCCGCCTAGCCCATATTTATACCCTCTCCTCTATACATGGCAATTTTTTCTGAGAGGGACTAAATTGTGCCGAATATAATCCCTGATGAATTTATGATAGCGTTGCGTTGGACGTGCAGGGGCAAACTACTTGGCGCCATTTTTTGAGGTAGTTAAGGTACTCTTGAAATTTCAGCAACAGAAAGTAAGCGGTGATGCTGAACTATTAGGGTGATTCAGATAATGGCAGTATTTCTATGACATGGGCCATAAAATGCCGAGATATTTTGACCGGTACGCCACCGACGCTTTTTACATAAGGTGTTCAATTTTACAAGAATTCTTGAATGATTTTTCTGGAGGAAAACTATTGCTATGCTATCCCATCTTTATTTTAGGTATCATGTATACTGGAATTTTACAGATTTTGTCAATTTTTAATAGAATGTTCCATCTTTCAAAAGAAGAAGATTAATATCACATAGAGTTTTGACTATTGGTTTTTGAGGTATAAACGACTCAATGTACAAAAGCGCTCAACTTTGACGGCCTGCCAGATCGACATTTGGAAAGATAGTGATAACACATTATTTTACTATTATAAAGTATCCATAAGCAGCTCAAAAATGAGGTATCTTACGATCCATCATTCCATTTGAAAAATATTTTAAGATCGCGCATAGCATCCATCTTGAAATTTTCAACTGACACTTTCACGATTAAACATAGTGTCCGTGCATCAATTGCATTTTCCCGAAATTCATTTTTCCAACCCATTTGAAAAATAAGTTTTTGAAAAGCACTTTATGCAACAAAATGATGTCATCCACTGTAATTAAATCTTTCAGACAGCAAACGTATCATACATTTTTCAGGAGCAGTACCTATTCGTTAGTAGATAGTCATAACTGACAACGACTTAAATAATAATTCGCTTGATAAAATCTCGACATTGTTATGCAAATAAATATAATTTTTCAACAGATCACGTTTAGCAAACGGTTTGTCTCTTGTTTCTTAGATATTATTTATTAGTTCTGCATAATTTATAGATAAGGTCGACGCTTTATATCACAGCACATGACCTAGTAATGTTCTAAATACATGTTTCACCTCAAAATGGAATTCAAGACAGATATTTATGTGCATGATATCGTGTGTTGATTACTTTACGCTACCTGTTACCTCAGTTATCTAGGATGCGGGACATACAAGTGCAAATTGTGAATATATCTACAGTTTAGAAATAATAAAAAAAATATCTTATATAGCAAATTGAGCTAATTTATCGTTCTTACGCCCACATGGCAAAAAGATGTCTATAATGTAAATTAATAATGAATAATAATAATAATAATAATAATAATAATAATAATAATAATAATAATAATAATGATAATAATAATAAATGGCCTTTATTCGTCACATGATTAAAAAATAATCGGCTTAAAAGGAATAGTGACGAAAAGGTGAAGTGTCAGCTTATGCTGTTTTTCAACCCGACCTAAAGAACATTGACACAAACTATAAAGAGAAAAAAAGTACCTACATTTAAATGGCACAGTTCACAACATTGACCACCAGAAAGAGAAAAGCTTGAAATATTACACTTCTCAGAAAAAGGAAACAATCAATTCATAACCCGTGGATATGCGTAAAGTTAAATTCTAGCCATCCGATTGCTTTAAACTCATCTTTAACCTTTTTTTAAATTGCTTAGGCTATATTCCTTATACTCACTTGACAAGCAGTTATATAGTTTGGGTGCCCAGTACGAGGAACAATGCTGTCGAATGCCGCGGGATAAGTCAGATGCATGCGTGTATTCCTAGAGGATCTTTGATCGTACTGACAGAGGAGGTTTAGCTTTGGAAAAGATAATATGGCGCTGTTTTTTACGGGTACTTGGTTTTGCTTTGCAAATTGTCACATGCGTAATGCTTTGAACAATTATATGAACAACTTTGGGCTAACGTCTAGATGTACTTTCCGTTTTGAAAGAACTAATTATTTTTTACATAAGCAACGTTCTTAATTATATTCCCACGATTTCACCACATGTAAAGATGATTTACAATTATTACTAAAATAAATCAACTTTTATGGCACACTTATCGTGTGCATAACACTTAGTAAACATAAATGCAGTAGTGATATTGATTTTATGGTAGACGCAATCGAACCTTGAGTTTCCTTTCAAAGTCCTTGGGCGTTAAAGTTATCATCAATGCAAACATCGTTTACCGAAAACGAAGCCTTTATCGTAGTTCAAACATTCAATAAAACTCTGCCTATAGTGCTGTTATGCCCGCATCGCCTTTTCATGTTTCAAATTCAGATTGGTCAAACGCGACGACGTCTGTGTTTGAGCAAGAAATTATCAAACCTTACTCGCGCTGGTCAGTTGTGAATATAGCACATTAAGTACCTGCAATTAGTATGTCGTTGATATGTACAGTCTACGAAAATCGAAAGTTTGCCAATTTTAACATAACAAACAAAGAATAAAAATCGCTATAGAATAAACTTAGTCTAAAGAGCTCTTCGAGGTCATGTTAGCCAAGCGCTTAAGCATTGAAAATTCCTCTTTTTTGTTTAAAATGATGCGAAAACCGAACGAATTGAAAAGATCACAACGATCCAAGCCTATATGCTTACGTTAGCATTGTTTGTCGGCAAATTTGCGTAGGTAGTTTTTTTTTACTTCTGGCTCATTCGACTACCACAGTTGTATCAACGTAAAAATAATACTTACCCTTGGAAAAATCTACCTTCAAGGGTTTGTGCTGCTGTTTGCAAATCGTCTAACACCACAATTATCTGCAAACACTCTCACTTTCAAGGAATAACACTAGAAATACCAATTTAATGACAGAACTGTCCAAAAATTAACCTATGTCGTCCACTTGTAGTATGCAATTTCATCCTGACTACAAACTGAGTCAAACAAATCCTTCTACCTAGTTTAAGTTCATTGGAAAAACCTGATTGTCCAGAGCGAAGAAATATATCTTTTTTGTGTGAAAGAAGTGTTTACAAAGAGTTGCTCCGGGTTACCACCCCTAACTGTTTGCTTGATGCTAAGGGGTATCCAGCAGACGTGATCGTGAAAAAGAAATCGAGTTGGAAAGCTTTTCTTCTAAAGCTTGAAATCACAATATTCAGTACCGAGTATGGCAAAGTATTTTCATCAAATTTCAATATGAACTCGGAGTAAAGCAGGTGGTGGAAACAATTAGTATTTCATTTGAACGAAAAATCCAAGGTTCGCATTTTTCAGCATACCATGCATTTATAAATTCGCCTATCTCAATCTGACAACGTCGCACTGCTCGCGAAGGTATAGGGAACACGCTTTTTTTTCTTCATGATATATGTTTGCTCTGGATATGTTTTTCGGGCTTATCGGATCATTCTGGACAAAAGGGTCCTTAACTGTCGTCTAAGACTGACCGTTTTCGAGTTATAAGCGATTCAATGTTTGAAAAAGGCGAAAGTGATAATTTTCAATGCTTAAAAACTCATTAAAAATGCCAACTGTCTAAATCAAAGTCCACAAGACACAGACGAGTATTTAAAGCTAAGTATATTTGTTTTAAATTAATTTTCTATTTGTTTGGTAAGCTAAAAATGTTTTTCGCGAAATGTACGTAGAGCATGGCGTACAGATTACAAAAAACGTTCCTGGCTTACTAGCCTTAACGCCACTGCGACCCACATTATCTATCGTGAACCTCCATATACACTGTCTAAAGGACTGTATCTAGCCTTGATGCTTTCAACAGATTCCATAGCCACACGGGGCTTTGCATGTAGCTTTTCGTTGTTGGTGTTGTGATTCCTGAAACCGAAATCTTGCCAGGACTTTGCAGTGACAATAGAGATGCACCGAGGTTTCCTCATATTTTCTGCCAGGATGAACTCTTTTGTTTGCCTTTGCATGACTGCATTCTATGGACTTTAGAGCATGGCGTATCTTTTGTCCTATGAAAAAAGTATTTGTTGGTTTTCAAAATAATTACTCATCATCATATAGAATGCACTTCACCACATTATGCAAGAACCAACCAGTACTCCCACTGCTGCTCCTAATAAAAATCACTCAACGCCTAGCAGCTCGGCCCTGGATGTAAACCTGTGCTCTTTTCGTTGTGACTTCGCAAACTGAACCAAAATCACATGGAAGTAAGGGGTACAATGTGGATGATCTAACACATAAATTTTTGTGCAAATAATAATTGTGGTCTACAATGTACCATTTAGCTAAGGCTATCTTCTGTTTACCAAGCATAATGTTTTCTACTAAACCTGATGTTCCGAGAAGAAGACTCGACCAATGTTTTTCCAATCGAACGTTTTTGCTTGAATTGGTTTTGACCTCTGTCTGGAACATCAAAAAAATCAAATTACTTTTGCCACCTGGCATGATCGAATTTACAGTATGTATCGTCGCCTGAATGCAGAACTATTGTATGTCCAAATTCTTCATTTTTCAGATTTTAACACGACATTGTAGGTCATAGTCACCTACATTGCATGCAGAGGTATTGTAAGTCCCTGCGCAAGCGTTCCCCCACCACTGGTCTTGAACGATATTTTGGCGTAATAGCTTGAGGCGCGTCATTTCGCTGCAGAACTATGATAAGAGCAGAT